AAAGCATCTGGGATTCTGGGAGATTCTGATTTAACTTAAACCAGGAAGGGGTCTGCGACAGACATTGCATAAACCAGTTTGACTCAAATCAGTTAAACCACAACCAACATTCAAGCAGGTTTATCTCAAACTGGTTTCAGCCATTTTCAAACTGGTTTATGTGCACTGAACATCTATTCAGTTACAAATTTAAACCAGTTTCTGATCACTTAAACCAGCTTATGTCTAATGACTGTCCCTAGCCTTAGTAAAGTCTAATTTATATATTCCCTGGCACTTCCAAGGACAACTCTTTTATATAATAAATGGTCTAGTACTGCTCTTGTTTATAACAATAATACACTGATGGAATTCTATTCCCTTAAAAAGAAGGAAAATTCTGTAAATAAGCTCCGGATCAGGTCCAGGATCTCCAGAATGCAAGCAGAGACTCTCAAACAATAAAAGGAAGAGCAAGACAACTATTTATCTCTGACTGATAAATCATATCTGTGGCAACACTGTGTGTGCGCTGCTGAACAGATCAACTGTCTGCTGCAGCGTAGGATAAATGCTGGTTAAACAGGAACCTTCATCAGCAAGGCAACTGCTAAAATTAGCATAGAAAAACCCAATGAAATGAAGACAAAAGTGAAGTCCTGAGATGAAAGATAGATTATTCATTGTCAGGGAGTACAATCTATGGGACATAAAAGTAGTTACAAGGTGACAGTGTATACAGCAGAAGAAGCTGAAGGATAAAACAGCAGTAGAGCAGAAATCCAAGTCCCCTAGGCAGAATAAAACAGGTATGGACAAAAGGATGAGAGGGGATGATAACATGATAAAAAATGATTGTGAAAGCAGTTAAATACTCAGGAGAAAAAATCTGCCATTGAAAACCCTGGATGCTCATGAGTATGAGGACAATACATACACAAATAGGGTAAATATCAAGAGGAAAACTGTATATCGGGTAACAAGTACACCGAATGAAAAAAGGAGCTAAAAAGGTCTTTCAAGTACTAATACAGGAGGGAACAATCATTTCTTACACTAACAGTGTTACTCTGGCCATGGCAGAAGGTAATCTCTACAGCTGCTTGCAGACATTAAAAAAAACAACCAAAAAAACATGCTTTAATGGAAAAAGTAGTACAATACTTCAACCCAGCTCTGCAGCATCTGTAAAGATAAGGTGCTTCAGTGGGGCTTTTTGGGGCTTTTAGCTAAAGATGATTCAATCAGCTATTAGATATAAGCACTAAAAGAGCTCAACTATACAGCCTGATCTTTACAGACCTTGGGCGAGAAGAAACACGCTGCCTCTTCTGGGTATGTATGGGGTTTGGTGTGGGAATTTATTGAATTTAAAGTAAAGCACCGTTTTACTTTAAAATGGCGGGAAGGGTTATGTCTGCAAGCACTCTAAGGTCCCACCCTGGCCTAACTAGTTAAGACAGGCATGAGCTTTTGCAGGTAAGAACCTTTTTCATCATTTGGCTGAGTGTGGTGCTGTCTACGAGCAGAAAAGTGGTTAGCTGTGTTAGTCTGAAGTCAAGGTATGGACCAATGTATATTTTAGTTGCTTTAAAAAGGGAAGGAGAGCCGACGTTGCTCAGGAGAGCACATCAGCTGGTAGGCTGTAACTGATCCTGCTGTGGTACAAGTAAGGTAAATCACTCTAATTTTGACCCTGATTGGAACAGAATTAAAGTTGGAGTGGTTTTGCTACATAAATCATGCAGACATATCCCGTGCATCATAACAATTTATATTAGTATTCTTTGATTTTGCTACAACTGAGAAATCTCATATTAAGAAAGCAAGGAACAACTTTAGAAGTAGACGGAAGAGTACTTAGGAAATACATCATCACTACTAGGCCTGGGTGAATAAGGAAAGGACAAGACAGGTTTACAATAGTCCAAAAAAACTGGTTTGGGGGCAATTTTTTTTCTTAATATTTTATTTTATAATAGTTTTAAATAAAAGCTTAATAATTACTTATGAGTTGTAATACAAAATAGCATGCTACCAAGTGACTGGTGTCCTAACTGATGAAAACAGGGTGCGATTTGCTGTCATGCTATGCTGTGGTAACATACAAGTTCTTAATCAAAAAGGCATACTAAAAAAGAGAGGAAATTTCTGTTCCTTCAGGACCCCATTAATATAGTTCAGCTTAATTTTCTAACAATAAAAATAGTTACAATAAACACATTCCTGCACCACATTTTGATTTAGATAAATGTACATTTCCTGATTTAAAAAACAACATTCACCCAGAAATTTTTCAACCCTTTCTCACTGTAGATTTTGACTACTTTTAAGAAAAAAATTGCCTTTCATTACTGAAGTAGTGGCAGTGCATTGTCTGGTGGACAGAAGTGGATAACCTTCATGAGAAGATGACATAAATGCTGTGTCAGAACCCCTGGGATTTTTGAACATGGATCTTGTGTGTCCACAGGCTGAAGCATAGGCTTCAGCACCATGTGGTGGCAGACCAGACACCAGCCCCAGGCCAGCTTAGGCCCTATCATAAGGTTTCCAATGGGAGATCATGTGACCTCGGGGAACAAATGGAAGCCACCACTCCTCAATGGGATGACTATAAAACCCTCCCATTGCCTCTAGGGAAGTGATTCTCAACCTTTTTGGACTCAAGGCATCCTTCATTAGACTCAAGGCACACTTTCATATCTTTTGTGAATTGAGTGGTACCCAATTTCAAAAACTAATTTATATATTTATAGAGCTTACCTCCTTGCAGAGAGGCCACGTAATGGGGGTGGGGAAATGGCCAGGCAGAGATAAGCCTGAGCCTGCACTTACCCGCTTATCTCTTTACACCTTGGGGCACCCTTCAAACGATCTGGTGGCACCAGTGATTCTCAGCTAGGGTGCTGTGGCACTCTGGAGTGCCCTGAGATTTCAAGGGTGTCACAGGGTGTCACATAGTGCTGGCACTGTTAGGTGTGCAAACATGATTCATAAGATAAGGCTAGAGTTTTTTAATAGAAACCCATACAGTTAAAAACATTCTGACCTATGGTAGTCTGAATTATTTGCAATAAACAAGTTGCTTTGTTATTTTTTTCTAGTCAAAAAGAGTGAAAACTAAAATCTGGCATTTTCTGAAGGGTGGCTTGAGTCTATGAAGGGGTGCCTCAAATCTGAAAAGGTTAAGAACCACTGCTCTAGGGCCTTGTCCTGAAAGCAGTGTTGTCATTTATTACTGTATTGGACCATCCAGCTTTGTTCTCTGACCTCTCCCTCATTTATGCACATCTCCAGACAGTTTCACAAGGCAGCATCCACAAGCTCCTTGGACTCAGTCAAGGAACAATGAGCATTGGCTATGTGCTCTGCTCAGTGTCATCTGCTTGGAGCTTTCACTGACCCATGCTCCCATCCTTGTTTTCTCTTTTGAGTTAGGGACAGAAGTTACACATAAACTGGTTTAAGTAATCAGAAACTGGTTTAAACCTGTAACAGAACACAAGCTCAGTGCACATAGACCAGTTTCAAAATGGCTGAAACTGGTTTAAGATAAACCTGGTTGAATGTAGTATCAGAATTAACTGATTTGGGTCAAACCAGTTTATGAAACTTATGTCCCAGACCCCTTCCTGGTTCAAGTTAAATCACAGTCACCCAGCATCCCAGCATGCTTTGCAGCCCTGGGCTGGACTGTGCTGTGTGCTCCAGAGAGCAGGGCTGGCCCCACCCCTTGCTCTCTAGCTGCAGCAGTAAGAGCAGGTTGAAAAGGTGCAGGGGTGGGAAGCCCAGCTGGGGATGCAGTCCAGTCTATGATGGGGGGGGGAGGAGAGAGGGCTGCCCCTCCTTCTAGGCAAACCCTGGCTGGGGTCTGGGGCCAAGGAGGGGGATTAAACACCCCTTTCCTGGCTAAACTTACTGCTGGCTGCAACTGTGGACTACAAAGTCCAGAGGCACCTAGAAGCAGGAAGAGGAAGTGATGAGCAACCCTGCAGAGTCCTGCTGCTGTTATTCTGGACTGCAAATCCCAGAGAACTCAGGGCAGCAGGAAAAGGAAGTGAACACACAGCCAGAGAGCAAAGCTCTAGGGCCCCCTGGCTTCGGGCCTGAGCCAGTATAGGCATGTGATTGCATTTCCTGAATGAAAGGTAAGTGCCTGTTCACTTCTGTTTCAATTTAATCTGTGCAGTTTAAATTAACCTACACAGACTGAACAGATTCAGCTTTGGACTTTTTGACTGTCTGTACCTAGCCTTGCTGTCCCTAGCACACAGTTGCTATACATCCAGTGGCCTTCCTAACTGAGGGATACTTCTAGTTTTCTTTGTGTGCTGAGGCCCACTGTCCTCCACTTGCATAACAAATAGATCTGTCTTTGACCTCCTGGCTTTGATTCATTGCATCCCTGACCATGATCTTGTCTTGGTCCTTGTCTTGGCAACCTGGCAACTGGATGAATACATTGGTTTGACTTCAGCTACCTGACATCTGGTGCACTCTACTCCTGAAAACCTCAGTAACATCAGTAGTTAAAGAATGGTCAGTATCTTGCAGACTTAGCTTTACCTCAGCAGGAAGAAAAATTTAGAAAGCAAGGAAAGCTAATGAGAACACAGTGTACTGTGCACAATGGGGCTTTCAAATATGGAGGAAATTCATCCTCCTCCTCCTCAGCATCACCACCATATCTTTTCCTCCAACTTCTGTGGGTTTCAAATATATGCCTGAGAATGTCACTTGTCTGGAAAACATATTAAGGCACACAATGCTGTATGCTGATTAGGAAACTCTCTGTTATGGTCACATAACTTCAGTAAAACAACCCTGCCCATTAAATCTCTTTACAAAATTCCATTCACAAGGAAGGGAGGTTCTCAACTGCCAACTATGAGTACATGACATTGGCATTTAACCTTTATGCCGGCAGGTTTCCAGCCACAACAAACCAAACATATTTTTAATTATGTGGGTGGGTAATTACTGAAATAAATGAAAACATATATATATATATTTTTTACCTTGGTAAAGGTCAAACAGTCTTTGTCTTGATCTTTATCCTTTATTTCAAAATCATAAAGTGCTTTGCCCTGAGGTGGAGCTTGTGGAAGGGGCTTGATACACTGAATGTAGCTGGCTGGAAAGAAGCCATGGTTTCCGTTGAGCTCCCCATGATACCAATTTTCATCCACCTTTCGTCGCAGAATGATAATGTCCCCTTTGTTAAACTTGAGGTCACCGGCTTCTTTCCCCTCATAGGTGTAGAGGGCTTTACCATAAGGAAGTTGAGAAGCACTCTAAAAAACACAACATACATTCATTTTAAGTAAACTCATGACCCAATAGGAAATAAGCACTAGCTACTTCCAGATTACTATAAAATAACACTCCAGTTTAAATTTAATGAAAAACTAGCACGAATACAATTAGGAAAAAGTAAAGAGTAAGTGAAAGTGGCTGCATCTACATGAGATGTATAAACAAGTAAATAAATGCACAGTAACCTGAGTTACTGTGCAGTAGTACCAGCGAATGCCTTTTTTGTGATGCTACTGAGCAGTAGCCTAATACTACTACACAGTAGCGTCGCATCACAGTTTTTGCCATGTGATGCTACTGAGCAGTAGTTCCTTTCATATTTTGTTTTGTATTTTGCCTTATTTTTTTAGAAAGAAAATCTATATGCATAGATTTTCGGTTTTTGTTTTATTCATTTATGTGTTAAATACTTATATTGGGAAGTTATTTAGACCCCAATACAATAAAATAATTAATCAAGGGCTCAGTCTTAGTTATGAATGGCTGACTCCCTTAATGAGGATGTCAAGAGAAGGAGAACTAAAAATAAGGACAAAGTCTGGTTTTGCTGTAAGTAGGTACATCCTAAAGCATGAAGGAGATGATCAAGTGAAAGGCTATGGAATTTTAAATGTTAGAACAATTTAAATCAGAGTGGAACCTAAGGATTTTAACTATGGAAAGGGGCATCTGTTTATAAGTATTTAGTACTAGAAAGATATGCTGCTGACAAAAGATAATGCCAGAACAGGAATGAAAGAAAAAACAAATAAGCAAACCAGATGAAATAGAGGTAAAGTCTTAGATCAGTGATCTTAGAACAAAGCCCAAACCACAAGAAATGGACACGCTGAATAGAAAACACAAAATAGAAAGAGAAAAAAGCCAAGGATTGAATACTGAAATGCTCTACAAGGGAGGTCAGAGGAGATGTTGTAAAAGCCTCCATCTGTATATGGAAAGAGAACCATTCAAATCAGGACAGAAAATGTTGGAGATTTCTTGAGGCAAGCAATGAGCATCTCTTGTTCAATGGGGCTGAATGCTGCACTGAGGTCAAGCAAGCTGAATTATTTTTGGATTTGCTATAACAACTGAGGACTTTATTACTTAAGAAAAGGGTGCCTCATTATTGCAAGAGGATGACTGAAAAGGCAACTTGTTTTTGTCTGGGCAAGCTGATTAGGGAGGTGGGTAATTGAAAGCTTGGACTTATATAACATGAACTCTGCAAAAGAACATTAATTCATGAAACATGCGCTACTTGTCATGTGTCATTCCCTCTATATAATTGAATTTATATATAAAGTAAGAACAATTAGAACATGGCATTTTCTGGCTATTACTGGCCTGATATGACACAAATGACATTGAAAGAGCCTATTAAATCTAGATCCAGAAACATAAAGACTTCCAATTATTCTGTTCTTTAAAAAATGTATTTCATCTGGAAATTATCAGCTTAGGTTTACATTCCATTATTAAGGTTTTCAAATAATTTTGACCATATACTGTATCTTAAATGTATACCATGCCTCCTAGTGACTACAGAGTGTTTGTAATCAAGGGAAAAAGGGGCCTTGTCACATATTAATTTTAGGTGGCTCCTGGAGCTCTTAACCCCTGGATTGGCCATACATTAACATCTGAAACTAATTTTAGGCATAGTTAAGGCATTTTAAAGTAACACCACTCCAAGGCAGGTTTCTCTCTGATCCATCTTACCTAGCTCATTTTCTATTATTGCACAACAACTCCCCACAGATGAGCTGCCCAATTTGCAGTCCTTTACCATCCAGGATGCAGTGTCCCCTTCCCCATCCTCCTGCCTATGTATAAAAACTATTCATTCCTATACTACTGCATAGGGGGCAGTTCTGGCACCAATCCAGCTCCCGTTCTGACTCCTGAGGGTGTGATTTTCCCATCTCCTGGGGTACACCACCATGAAAACAGCCTGCAGAGAACATGCCAGCTAGCAAGGTCGCAGGTCACAGATTGAGGTGGAGGGTAGGGAAACAAGGTAGGGGACCAGATCAAGGCCTCATGAGCTGGGGCTTCCTTCCTGGAGAAGGGGCAATAGCTTCCCCAAAAGTCCCTTCCCTCACCACTCTGAGCTTTTAGCTACCCGGAGAAGTAAAACCAGCACTCCACACACAACGATACCAATCCCAATTTATTAAAATATGAGACCTTATTTAATTTACTTCCTCTGTGTTTTTAAGTTCATTTTTTTTACTTCTTTTTGTTTTATCCCTCAGTGACTGACTTCATTTTACCATCCATCCCATATCCCCATCTCCTTTCCACCTTCCCCATCCTACTCATCCCCATCCTATTAACTCTCCCCCTTTCAGCATCATGTTCTTTTTTTCATGTTTACAACCCATCTCTCACACCATCCCATCTAGAGCAGGGATAGAAGTCTGTCCTGGCTCATCACCAGTAATGATAACTCACTGTTGTAGCTCCTAGTTGGTCCCCTGCTCACTAGCCCTCTACTGGCAAGTCACTTCTCTGCAAGGTGAGGACACCCAGAGAAGGTATTTAGCCTTAAGGTGTGACTGTTCCAACCCTGAACTAGCACTAACACCAATCAACATTTGAGCAGCTCGAAGTTCAATATGTAACAAGGACCTGAGTGTAGCCTACAATTACAGAGCCATATGAGGCTCTCACCCCGTTCCCATTAAAAAACTAGGGGACTGTGGTGTCAACTCCTACACAGTCAGATGGGTCACTAATTGGCTGGAGGGCCGCACCCAGAGAGTGGTGGTGGATGGGTCATTTTTGACCTGGAGGGATGTGGGCAGTGGGATCCCCCAGGGCTCGGTCCTTGGGCCTGCACTGTCAACATCATTGGTGACTTGGACGAGGGGGTAAAAAGCACCCTGTTCAAATTTGCTGATGACACTAAGATGTGGGGGAATGTGGGCACGCTAGAAGGGAGGAATAGGCTGCAATCAGACCTAGACAGGTTAGAAGGGTGGGCAGATGAGAACAGGATGGGATTCAACATTGACAAGTGCAAGGTGATGCACCTGGGGAGGAACAACCAGCACCATACCTACAGCCTGGGGAACTCCCTTCTCATCAGCGCAGAGGCAGAAAAGGATCTTGGAGTCATCATTGACTCCAAGATGAACATGGGCTGGCGGTGTGGAGATTCAGTCAGGAAGGCCAACCACACCTTGTCAT